AGTGCGCCCCTGCGAGTTTTAAACCTGCCGCCTCTCCTCCCATTATCAATATTATTTATTTGATTTATTGGCCGCCCAACATCCGCCGGGAAGTGTCAAGAGGGCCCCTGAGCATGCACAGAGTGAACTCCCTTGCCCGAGGAACCTCAACACGCCGCCTCTGGGTCCAGCCCACCCGGCTGCCTTCCCCTCAGGCGCGATGGGATTGTAGTCCCACCTTGCCCGGCGGGGGAAGGCTGGGGTTTGGCCTTCGCTGTCCCCGTAAGCCCCCCGAGGCGAGCAGCGCTGGAGGAGACTTACCAGGCGCTTTTCAAGGGGGGAGAATTCGGTTAACGGCTCCTGCTCGCCTTCCTCATGCGTTTCTTCCTCAGACGGCCCCGACTGCGCAGGGTGGCCTGGGAAATGGAGTCCTGCTTCCGCCGGCGACGCCGTCCACTCTCCCTGTAAAGGACCACGATCGCCATAAGTCATTGCGCCTCACGCCGCGCCCTCTCCCTCCGCGAGCGCCACCCCCAGCTCGCGCCTTCTCTCGCGCCGCCGGGCATGAACCATAGACAGGAGAAGGAAGGAAAGAATGGGGAGGCGGAACCATTTCCGGACGGCTTCTCTCTATGGTCGTAGGAGCCTCCGTAGGAGACCGGAAGCGGATTTCGGGAGCCGTCATGGCGGTAATTGGGTGCTGAAAGGGGAGAGGCCGGCCGTCGTTGGGGCAGGGAGGTCGTGCTCGTGAATCGCTGTCTCGCTTGTGTGGCGCGCGACAGCTTTCGCAAGTCCCAGCTTTCTCCAGTCGGCCCCGGTCCAGAAGCCCAGGACTACAACGCCAATCGTCCTCCATCCTAGTGGACCGATATGGCCGTGGATGATGGGAAATGAGTCAAGTGTCTTCGGAGGGCTAAGACTCCCCCCAGATTTGGTCTGAGTTAACCGCAAACGAAAGCTCTAGCTTGGAGCGAGGCAGCTTCCTACTGCTGGCAAATACTCCCCCCCCTCTTTTTTTTTGGTGTGGCTTTTTGGGCTGAATTTCTGTCTGGCTCACGAGGCACGAGCTCCCTGCCGAGAAGAATAAAAGAAAGGGCCGTATTCCTTCTCCGTGCCCACAGACTAGCTGGAATTGCCACCTTTTCTTCACAGGCTTTGCTCCCATGCCATTAATGTCAGCCGCAGAAATTAAGCAAATGATTCTCTAATCATAACAGGAAGCACCGGGCTGGCTGTTCTTAAAAGGCATATCAGTAGCCGCAGAAGAGGTGGCAAGCTATACCTCTCTTGCAGTTTTTATCTTCAGTATTGGACGTTCTAACCTGGTTTCCTGACAAAAAGGCTATTGGATTTTCTAACCTGGTTTATTTTTGAAACTTAGATCCCTCTTTCCTGAAAAGGCACTTGATGTGGTGCGTTCCCCTCATGACAGGATTCATAACACTGGGGCACATTTAACTCCAAATTTTCTACCACTTTAGAAGATAGAATAAATATTTCAGTGCTTAGTGGAATAACTGCTTTTTTAGATGTTATCTTCATAGTTTCCCAACAATATTGCTTTGTAACCGCCTTGATGTCTTGTATGCCATTGTACAGGATTTTTTTTACTGTTTTTATGGTTTTTATTTGTGAGCTGCCTAGAGTCACTTATATAGTGACTCTATATAAGTAGTGTATACATTTGATTTATAAATAAATAAACTTTGAAAGCTTTTTCTGAAAAGTAATATAAACATACTGATAATAAATTATCTGTGTTTATTGCAGTGAGATGAGCTTGGATGTAAAAAAGCAACTGTGAACTAAAGTGTGCAGTACTTAGTTTTGGATGAATATCTATCATATTTCTCTGCTACCCGTTAAGCTGAAAATGCACTGAATTCCCAAAGAAGGAGTGGGACAGGACCACAGCCATGGATGAGGAGAGCTTGGAAACAGCAATTCAGACTTATAATGCTCAGTTGCAGCAGGTAGACCTGGCTTTGGGAGCTGGTCTGGACCCAGCAGAACAGTCTGACCTAATCCAGCTGCAGGCTGATCTAAGGCAGCTGATAGAACTGACAGAAGCCAGCCTTGTCTCAGTGAAAAAAAGCAAGCTCTGTTCAGTTTTGGACTCTGAGGCACTTTCTACTTCTTCGTCCACCCATCCACAACAAAACAGCTGTGAAGCTGGCCATCTGAGTGCTGATGATGAATATGCTGCTTTTAAGGAAGCCATTGCAGAAATTGGGGGTGAAGATGGTCCATTAAGAACTCATGATGAGAGAGATGGAATGGGTGATGATGAGGAAGAACAGGAGGAGGAGGAGGAGGAGGAAGAAGAAGAAATAGCCAGTGGGATGAAAGTGAAAGCCCCCTACTACAGTTCCTGGGGAACCCTTGAGTACCATAATGCCATGATTGTAGGGAGTGAGTGTTTGGAAGATGGAAGTCCTGGAGTTAGAGTGCTCTACCTCTACCCAACTCACAAGTCCTTGAAACCATGTCCCTTTTTCTTGGATGACAAATGTCGATTTAAAGAGAATTGCCGGTAAGTAGGTCAACTGGTAGGGGAAGGGGTTCTCAATACATCCAAGAAGCACCTCTTTCTTTATGCAGGCCACATCCTGTGGGGAGAATCTATGTGATAACACTGCTTGTATTCTCCTACTATCTTCCTACTTGGGGCAACTCTGTACTTTGTCTTTTAAGTTTCCTTCAAAAGCTGAATGCTGTATTACCCTGAAGAGGGTTTTTAGAGTCACAGAGGTGTTTCAGCATGCTCGCAGAAGTACTGTTTGCAATACTGAAACTGATTTGTGATCAGTGTTTCTTTGTGATCAAGTTGTTTTGTGATCAAGTTGTTTTGTGATCAAGTTGATTTGTGATCAAGTTTCTTTGACAAGTACTGGGGTGTTTAAATGTTAGTGTTGAAAGCTAGATTAATGCATCTGTTTCTCTGCAGGAAAAAGTTGGCATAGAAATTCATGGACTTAAAGTTGGAAGGGGGCATTTAGTAGGGCTGTACAAACTTATAAAATTATTTGGAAGAAGTGCTTTGGCCCTTCTGCAGGAGCCTGAAAGATGGATATGACTGGATTAATGAATTGTCACTCTTAAACAGCCACATTCTTTTTCTGTCTTGTGCAGAAGAAAATGCAGGACTGCTTTAATGAATAGCAGAGAAGTGCTAAGCTCATCTGTGATGCAAAGAATTTCTTCCAAATTGCTATGCAAAGTGTGCATGCTTCTACTGGGTCAGATCAGCATTTCTCAAACTTGGTAACTTTAAGACATGTGGACTTCAACTCCCAGAATTCTCCAGCCAATATGTCTTAAAGTTGCCAAGTTTGAAAAACACTGGTGTAGATCTTTTGAGTCATTCACCACCACCACCCAGTCAGTGCAGAAGTCTGTATGAAAGAATCCTAGGGGAGGGTTTTTCAGCAAAAAGGAGTACACTTTCATCTTCAGTACTGTGGAGTCCTTGGGGTTCTCTGAGTTTGGTTGTTTTCTAGCAGATGTTTTGTTCCCCGAAACTGCAAGAAAACAGCCAAGCTCAGAGAACCCCAAGGACTCCACAGTTCAACCCTGAACTACATATATTCTCTTCCATTGGTACCTTCAGCACTGTAGTTGGCTTGCCCATTAAAGTGCCCATTAAAGCATTAGCAAGAGTTTCCTAATATTCGACCGTATTTGCCCTCCTGTAACTTAACACCATTATTTCATTTCCCTTGACATGATAAAGAATGGGTTTTGGTCTTCTGCTGGATGCTGCCACTTCTGTTACTACTATTATTATTGCTAAATTTCTCTAGTGCTGCAATAAAAAACTTGGTAGAATGTCAAATAATCCTACATAAAATATCCACAATACAATAATAAAACATCTGAAGAAATCACCATCAATATTAATGACCAGCAATTCACATTCCTCCAGGTCAACATTCCTCAAGACTAAACATGTTCACTTCCTCTGCCTCTTTTCATTTTCAGTCCCCGGATCATCCTTACATCACCCTTCTTTACCCCTAATCCACCTTCTCTGGATCTTTCTTAGCATACTGCTCAGAACTGGACATTCAAGGTTGGGTCTGATCAAAGCAGAATGCTATTGGTTCCTGTGATTTGGAAACTATATGTCAGAACCTTGCAATTAAGTGCCTTGATTAATTGTAATATTGTGTTAAAATTGCAGTTGCCTTTTTAGCAGGCACGCCATACTAATAACTCATACTCAGCTTGTAATGGACTCAAATTCTAAGGATTCTTTCTATGTGTATCGTTTTTGGGCAAGGTGTGTTATATCTGTGAGAGCCAATTTGGTGTAGTGGTTAAGGCATCAGGCTAGAAACTGGGAGACTGTTTTAGTCCCACCTTAGGCATGAAGCTAGTTGGGTGACCTTGGGCCAGTCCATCTCTCTCAGCCCTATGAAGCAGGCAATGGCAAACCACTTCCAAAAAACCTTGCCAAGAAATCTGCAGGGTCTTATCTAGGCAGTTGCCAGAAGTCATCACTGACTCAAAGGCGCACACACACACGTGTCATATCTGTAGCTCTCTGCAGGAATTAGGTCTACTTGCGTTCATAGAATGAATGGGGAATACTTTGATTACTGACTGGGACACCTGAAAGGGAAGAGGCAAAAACAAACTGGATAGTCCCAGAACTAGAATGTTAGAACTGTAGCTCTCTTCCAGTGTCATTCTCCAGCTTCTGGGGTATAAAGATCTGGTGTTTTGAAACCAAGGCATTTACAATCGACTCTCCCTTCGTGGTCCTCGTGGCAGGTTTTCCCATGGGCAGGTGGTATCCACAGAAGAGCTGCGTCCCTTCGAAGAGCCTGACCTCAGTTGCCTGGCTGTGGGGTCAGCCTGCCTGGCGAGACATCAGGACGGGATCTGGTACGCTGCTAAAATCACAGGTGAGGTCGATTTCAAGCATGCGCTTTGGGTTTCATTGTATGAAGGTCTTCTGCCTTGTATATTGGCAGCTACACCAGGAACAGGTAAAACTCTGGCCTGGCATTGGGGGCCCACTGATTCCACACAGATTTGGTGGATTATTTGCTCTTTTAAGGAAATCCAAAGGTGATCTGCCCAGAGATAACTTTTTTCCTAGCTTTGCTGCCATATTCCAAGTTTGTGTGTTCATTTTTTTAAGTTCCCTTGACCGCACTGATTCAGAAACTTTCCAAGACCTGAGGCAGAACACCCCTTGCCATCCTTTTAACTCAATGTTTAAATCTCAGCAACTTTAAGACCTGTGGACTTCAACTTCCAGAATTCCCCAGCCAACATGCTGGCTAGGGAATTCTGGGAGTTGAAGTCCATAGGTCTTAAAGTTGCTGAGATTGAGAAACACTGTTTTAACTGTTGACCCCAAGGCCTGGAACTCAGGTCTTTCAACTACAAGGCACCTGCTCATTCATTATGGTTTATCTCAGCAGACGGGGGTTTTCCTTTAAAAAAAAAATGGATCCTGGATAATTGAAATGATTCTCTTCCCTACATATGTTGGGCTCTTTGGCAATTGCCTACATCTGAATGGGATTCTTCTCCAAGCATGATTCTCATAGAATTCTTGAGGTGCAAGAGATGTGCTGTTACAAGAATTCCTGCAACAAATTTTCCCTTTGCAGCCAAGTTCTCCATGGAGAACTTCTGGTTTTCTTTCTAACAGCCTCCTTATGATCTATTAAGGAGGGAGGTCATTTCACTGGTAATGGGAAACCTTAAGATCTCTATTTACATAAGGTTTTTTTTTTTTTAATCCTTTTCAGTCCAGGAAACAACCATTGCAACCCACTTTTAAAAGTAATGAATACCAGTCAAGGATCTTCATGTCTGCCTAAGGCGATATTTGACCTTTGAATGGAGGGTTTTGCTGTACAAAATAGGTTTTAATAGAAGAGAATACGTGAAGCTCAGATATTTTGTGGAATTCTTGGTGCTCTCTGAGCTTGGTTGTTGCCTTGTAGCAAGTGATACTTGCTTACATCATCAGTGCGCTGATGTTACCTCGTTGGGTAATGAAATGTCTGCAAGCCAACAGCCAAGCTCAGGGAACACCAAGAATTCCACAAAATAGGTTTTGCCTGGATAAAAGTGAGTCGGACCAGGACCCAAACTAAATTCAGTTTAATTTAAATGGAGTCCCCATATTAGTAATTTGCCTCTTTTGTATTATTATGTAGCTACTGCATTTATATCCTACCTCAAGGGAGTTTGGGGGTGTATGCAGGGATATATGTATATTATTTCACTTGACCTCTTCACAGCAACCCTGCACAGTAGGTTTTTTGAGAGTGATTGGCCCAGACAAGGACTTGAATTTGTCTATCTCAGGTTCTAGTCCAGCACTTTGACCACTATGCTACTCTGGTTCTGAGTTCAAGAGGGTTCCATCCCAAAGTTCTTAATGGGAAGTGATGGTTAAATCATGGGACTAACCGGCTTCTAGCATTTGAAGTACTACCTTGGTTTCCTTCAGTGTAGAATAAATGATCTTTGAAAGTTGTTGTTTCCCCTTCCTCAGACATTGACAGCGGTTACTACACAGTGAAATTTGACTCGCTGCTATTGAAGGAAGCAGTGGTGGAAGGGGATGGCATAATTCCTCCCCTACGTAGTGAGGAGAGCTGCTCTTCCTCGGAGTCAGAAGGCGATGAATTGGATAGCGCTGCATACGCGAAAGGTAAAAGATACTGGGGGCACCAGCGGTGCTTTTCTGACTTTTCCAGTGCCCTGGAATGGCTGCGTTTGCTTTGCACCCTCCCAGCTGCTTTACCTCCTGAGTCTGTCTCTGGCCACCATGGCTGGAAATTCATAGCCCCATTTCTTACTGTTTTAAGGTGAAAAATGGGAAAACTGTCATTTAAATCCTAAAATTACCACATGGCAGAGTCTCAGTAGTGAGATGGATGGGCATATAAATTGTTTGTATAAATAAATATCTAAAGACCTCCCCCCACCACAACTGTCTTGCCCACATACACGGTATAGCCCTGCTCAGTTTG